ACCTTTCTTCTCAAACCTGTCGTGCATATAAAAAAGGCTCTTAAATTCCACAGTATAGACCTTGCATATCAATATTCACTCTTATAATTGATTGGTTTTTTTTTTTTTTTTTTCTGAACAGCAGAATTGAATAGATATAAATGCACATGCCATGCCAGTCAACAATGCATATTACGTTTACCTCAAATCGCTAGACACAACTGCCAAGAAAACAAATTCCACAAGCGTCAGACTTACATATTACGATGTAGTTCTTCTATAGTTTCACAGGTTTTCTCTCCGCGACATATGTCAAAAATATATTTATTATATTTTTTTATAATTAATTTATAAGAAAAATAGGAATGTTAGCTTTAATTTAATTAATTAGTTAATTAAATTATCTCATAATAATGATATTAAAATAAATATTAACTTTTTGTGATTTTTCTTGTAAATTAACATATAAGGATAAATTTATTGCACCATTAACTTAAATTCTAAAAGCACAAGTTAAATAAACTCATAATACAAATCTTAAAAGACTCGTGAGGAATTTTATGATGCTGCCGGCGTGGAGAATGATGTTGTAGAGCATAATTAGAAAGCTGAGTTAGATGCTGAATTTGCTGAGCTTGATTCTGATTTGGATGTTGAGTTTGAGGAATCATCTCATGCTATTCAGAAGAGAAGGCGTAACATGGATAAGGAGGACAAGCCCCCTCCAACCCAAGTCAGAGGAAGTTGCCAATAAATCATTCAGGTACGTACCTTCAATTATGAGAGATTTCACAGGACCGTGACAGTTATTTGGAAGTGTCTATGTGATGCTTCAGTCCTTTTTTGGTCCACTTAGCTTGATAGCAAAAGACTTGCTTGGTAGAATTTTTCAGGTATGATATTTAGAGTAAGGGTTAGTATTTGTCGGCTTACCTTTAAAAAATTAAGAGAAAAAAATATAAAAATCACCTTAATGCATATTTTAAAAATAAGATAGTTTAGTTTTTTTCAATAAAAATTTATTGAAACGACATAATTTTGAGATGATTTTTCTTCTAATTTTTAGGAGATAATGCTGATAGGCACTATTTCTATTAGATTATATAATAGTATTTCCATTTGATAGTATACTGTCAATCGGAATTTAAATTATAAGCTTTTTCTTTTCCTTTATATTTGTGGCTTCAACACTTCTTGAATATATCTAGAGTTGATTAAAATTATGAAATAACAATAGATTTTTATGTGGATGTGTTGGATATTTTTTAGATACTTATATTATAAATTTGGTTAATAGGAGTTAAGTTTATATTTTAAGTGTAACTCTCTTATGGTTTGTCAGGACATAGTGTTGGATATATAATTTGCTTCTTTGATTAAAATGTTAACAGGAAATCGAAATCATGACATATGAATTTGGTTAGAATAGAAAGAGTTCGGTTTCTCTTAAAAAAGGTCTTGAGTTGAGTTTGAATCTTGTGAATATAAATAGGTATTGACAAGGCTTTTCCCTATAGGGTCCGACACAATTTGATTCTAAATTAGTTGAGATCTAATATGGTTATTAGATACCAAAAAATTAATAAAAAAAATAGTTAGAATTTGATTATTGTGAGCATGACATGGATGTGTTGGATATGTCTAGATGCTTTATATGTCATTTTGTTAACAAGGGAAAAGTTTATATTTTAAGTGAACTTTGTTAAAGTTAAGTTTATTTTGATATATTTTGTTCCTAAAGCCAAAAGAATCTTTTTGTATAAAAGTTACATTTCTTAAATAATTGTAAATTTTTTTGGAACTAAAATATTAAATTAGAATATTATTACTAAAATAATAAATATTAAGGAGTGCATCTCTAAATTGGAATTAATTTAAAATTTTTTAAAAATAATTAAAAATATACCAAAATAAATCTAAAATATTAGATATGAGACAAATATGAAAAACAAAATTATTATCAGAGGATCAAAAAATATTTTATCAAAAATCAAACATAATGTCCATCAATATAACACAACTCATAAAGTAGCATAAGAGTATAATATGAATTGTGTGTTTTAATTATGGATTCTAAAGTGCTAAAACATGTAAATTACTAATAAGTAAATATATATTCAAAAATAAGAAGAAACCTAGTAGTAAATACCTTTGAGAAAATTAAAGAAAATAAAATTAAAAAAAAAAGAAAAGAAAAAGAGAGGCAAATTAAAATGCCACCTAAAAATATTATAGTTTTAAATTGATGAATAAATATTAAATATTAAGTCCTAATCCAAATTTAAATCCTAAAATTCTAAATCATAAATTTTAAAAATTTTAACATTTAAAATTTTATTATTAAATTCTAAAATTTTAAAATTAAAAACTCTAAAATTATAAAACTAAATGCTAAATTATAAAACTCTAAAGTTTAAATTTCTAGTTCTACATGTTAAATCTTAAATATTGAAACATAAAATTATTCTTCTTAAATTCTAAAAAAATAAGTTTAAAAATAATAAATACTTAATTTAAAAAGCAGTACACTAAAAAAATTTAGTACATTTTCTTTTATTATTGTGAA